TTTGAAGCAGGCTGCTCACCCTAAGAGCCTAACTGTTCATGTTCTGCAGTTTTGATGTCTAGTCTCAATCTTCATAAGTACAAACCCACACCGCAGGAAGTTAGCCAACAAGAAAGCCAGTGACTCCGTTAGCTAGAAGCCATGCTTCCTGGTGTGCTCTTGTCTCCCTGAGTAAACTGATAGGTAGCTCACACCTGATCTATTTGGCGGGGATGATCACTGCTCATGAGAGACCCAATACTCTTGCCGAGTAGCCTGAGGTTGCAGAGAAAGGAATGCTCTCATCTGGTCTATCCATCCAGTCCTTCATTCATTCAGACATTTGTGCACAAGATGTAATCTCGTCTGCCAGGGTGGCACTTGGGCTAGAAGAAGCAAAGTTTGTGAGATGGATTGTTGGGGTAAATATTTTTATTCCATGTCCAGTGAGAGCCCCCAAGCCATTCGAAACTGGGGGAAGAGGGCCATTGTTAGCACAATGCTGAGGGATGGCTAAGACACGGGCGCTGACTGAATTTACAGAAAGAAGGGAGGCTGGTCAGGAAAAATACCTTTTTGAGAAAGGGCCTTGGCCAAAAGGCAAAGAGAATGAACTCCCGGGAGGTGAAGTCTGCAGTTGTAGAGCGCCAGGTTAGTGCTTTGCTCCTTGGACACGCGAAGCCGGGAGAGTGTGGCTACCAGAGCACAGAGCAGTGAGGCGCAGACACCCGATCCTATTGGCTCCTACAGTCAGTCCTAAGAGCTTGCGTCTCACTGAAGTGTACCAAAGCCATTGCCAGAGTTAAAACGGGACCTTCCTGGCCTGAGCACTTTACATAGAATGTTCCAGCAACAGAGCCAGTGAACACCTGTCATTCCAGAACTCCAGAGGCTAGACAAGAGAATTCTAAGTTCAAAGTCAACCTGGGCTAAACTAAAACTAAAAACTTTAGTCTAAAACTAAAGAACATTCTAGGAGACTGGAGTAATTAGAAGCGAGGAGGCCATCATCCTACCCCAGTGGGCGGGGGAGCATGGGAGAGGGATGGTCCGACAAGCCCATCATTGAGACCAAGAATTGACAGGGTTTGTTCATTCGTTCACTGTCCTGGAGATGGGAGGTTTCTTGTGGCCAAATTCAAACAATGGTAAGGGGTGGAATTAGAAAATTAGTTTGTTCTCCAAGCCAAAATAAAAAAAAATCAACAGAAAGGTTCTACAGAGCGTCGCTCCCCCACACACACCGCCCCCGCCTTGGCATAATTGTGATCGTTCTTTTTGCTAAGCAAGTACTCATAAGAATGAATTTGCCACTCATCTGCTTATAGTCAGATTCACACACGATGCCAACTCATTAAACGACCCGTCGATGGCAAGAGAGACAGTTGCTCATTATGCTCCCAAGTCACCCAGATTCTAGCTGGCTGCTCTCCTTGCTCACCTCCCCTGCCGGTGGCAAACAAAATCACTTGGATCAAGTGAACAATTTTGAATGTTTAATATTAAAATGCGGTTTCGAGAAACTCCTTGGAACCCTCAGCCATTGTTAAGATACACTCCCTTTGACAGGTGCACCGGCACTTTTTTTTTCCTCCATGAGGCTTTTCAACGTGTTATTTTATCCAGTGCATGAGATTTCGTCTATTCTGCGGAGGCAAACAGACAAAAAGGGTCTCTCAGCACGAGTTACTCTGCTGTAAAGGTTATAGTAAACATGTCAATGCCTAATTAAGCAGAAAATTTTATCTGTATTGTGGGGGAGGAGTGTGCTGTCTCCGACTTTTCTTCTGGGGAATCCATTTAGAAGGACAAAGTAGATTGTGAGGTTGAACCGGTCCAGGAAGCTCCGCACCAAATGTCAGCAGAAAAAAAGGAAAGAAACACTACTTCTTATCCCTTGCTGGAAAATGACTGTATTGGTTGGTAGGGGTGTGTGTGTGTGTGTGTGTGTGTGTGTGTGTGTGTGTATGGTGTGTGTGTTATATATATTTATATGCTGAGTATGTGTGTTATATATTTATATGTTATGTATGTATGTTATATATATTTATATGGTGTGTGTGCATATATATATATATACACACTTTTCTTTCTCTGTCTGAACACACTACCCATAAGCATGGTGACAATATGTTATAACCTGGAGCATGGATAATGCTGTTTACTTGGTATTTGTCCCAGAGTCATAACACCCATTTCTTTTTCAAAAGTGACTATATTTACTTCATAAAGTTTGCCTGACTTCACTCACAAACGTGAGATTATTTCACCAAGAGTGGTGGTTGATGCCTGCATTACCAGTGCTGACACAGGAGGATTGGGAGAACTCCCAGCCATCTTGGGACTACAGAGACACTCAAAGGAGACAGTAGCAACAAAGTGACCCATATCCGATGGATAAAGTGTATCTGATTTTTGAAGCATCTCTCTTGTCTCAGGAAACTGTCTCAGGAAACTTTTCTATTTTTACAATTAAGAACTTTCTCCTTGAACGTAATAATGTAACGCCTCTTTAAAAACCTGTAAGTTAGTCCTGGGGGAAGAGAAGAGATATGAGCTGCACGGAGGGTCTGATCTGATTCGGGCATTCTGTTGTTTCAAAATGCAGTTTTCTTTCAAGAAGTGGCCACTTATTAATGGTTGCTTGACTGGATTGGATGACTTTCCTTTCCTCCAATCAATTCTTGGCACTAGAGACCAGCAACACCAATTTAATGAAAAACCTACTTGTCAGCTTGCTGGGGAAGCAAAAAAACACCTCACCAATAACAATAAAATAACAAACACAACCATAAAACTCGTGGCCAGGCTGAACTTTTGCATTTTATCTTGTTTTATGGACTCCTGCCCTCAAAGGCATGGGCCCTTGTCTTCAGCATTCCCACAATTCTCTCTCTAGCTGCTTAGAGATCGACCAAATTTCACTGTTGCCCTGGGATGATTTTCTTATTCATTAAGTTGGCAGCAGAAAGAAAGGGGAGTGTCCTGCACGAAACAATGGATTCTTTCAACAAACAGGAGTAGGCTTTGTGGGGACCCTGCAGGATCTGCAACTTTCTTCATTTGTAAGCCTCAGCCTCCAGACCTATAAAAATAAATAACAATATTTACTATATGTGGATATTAGATAAAAATGAAAGGACGTGCTTGCGGGCTGGAAAGATGGTTCAGTGGTCACTGTGTGCCCATGAGGACCAGAGTTTCCATAGCAAGCAGCCAACTACAGATGTGCCAGGCAGACGTGACAGCCTGCCTATAACCCCAGCATTTAGGAGGCAGATGCAGGGGACCCTCAGAGCAAGCTGGATAGATAAACCAGCTGAATGAGCCAGCTCTAGCTGTAAGTGAGAGACCCTGCCTCGATGTATAAGGAGGAAAGGCACCAAGGAGATCTGCATCGGTCTCTTATAGCCACACAAAGCTGCACACATGCCCACACACATTGCACACATGCTCATACACATGTGAACATGCATACACAGCCCAAAATGCATTTGCAGTGGATTTACCTAGGTACCACGGGAGGATAATTTCTCAATTAAAATTCTCCATCAACAGCAACAGCTTTGGTAACCCTACCTACTGCCCCCTTCTTCCTAACTCCCTTCTCTTTGAACTCTCTCTGCTAGCCTTGAGCTCAGGGACACTTCCCTTCCAAGATTTAGTTTTGGTGGATGGAAAGAACAGAACCTGATCTAGGGGTTTTGTTTTGTTTTTTTTCCCATACCATCAAGAGGGAGAGTGATGTTTATGAGGAAAACATTGCATTAAGAGCATGCTAACCTTGCAGATTTGGAGCTGTGTCTCTTTTGCATGGGGGCATCTTTGGTTGCATTCTATCCACCTGACTCTAAAAGGCCAGGTGGAGAAAATGAACCCACGGGCATAAATAGTCACATTTGCCATCGGCACTGATGGATATCTGTCCATTAATTCTCTTTCGCACCCGCTCTCTCGTGCCTTCATTTTCCCTATGCAATTACTGGCCCTCCGTCCTCTCAGAGAAGGGAAAGCATACATTCCCCAATAGCATTTTGCATCCACAAATCAACTATGTAATTGGCATCTCATGACGGGTACCCACAAATCACGGTGCATTTGAAATTACAGGAACAAGATCGAGAGAGTATTTTTAGCCGTGTCTGGAAAGGTCTTCATAAACCCATGTGAGAATAATAGACTAGCCCCCAAACCTCCCATTCTAACACCATTCCCCATTATTTTAAAATCATTGTATTTGCTGAGCTTACATAATTTTTCAGCCATTGGTAGGAGATTGTATTTGCATACTCCATGGTCTCTCTCCCAGCAACTCTCTATAAATAAAAAACGTTACAACAGAAAGACACGGCCTATCACAGATAAAATGGTTATGCGTCCCGGTTCCTATTTAGATGCATGCATGCCAATACTCCTAAGTATCTTGGGACAGTTTGCCATTGAAGTGCTAGGGACCAAACTAACTTTCTTATAAGCCAACACGCTCCTGTACTGTGGTGCTAATAGGATTTGTATTTCAGTCTAGATTTCCCAAAAGCCGTATACATGAGTTTAGCCACTGCCTCGTTATAGTAATATCAGAATGATATTTGATCCCTAAATTGTTAACTTGTGATAGTAATCACTCAGAGAATTATGTCTTTGCCGAGTTAAAAAGGAACAGCCAACGGATGTCACAAAAGACATCATTTGGGGCCTGGAGATGTACTCGGTTGTCATAGTGTTCACCTAGCATGCATAAAAGCCAGGTTCATTCACGGCACCACACACCTGAATGTGATGTGCAATGCTGGGGAGTCAGAGGCAGGGGGATCTAAAGCTCCTGTCCTGCAACATAGCTGCGCTACATGAGGCCCTGCCCTCAAACAAAATTGCGTCATTTGTCTTTCCCCCATCTCTGTTGCTTGCAGCTGGTAAAAGTATAGATTCAGTTGCTGTTCAGTTCCGCCCGGGTAAGCAGGGGCACGGGGATGGACTCCGTGAACCGTTATGTTTAGTTTGTCTCTCTGCGTCTCTTGCAGGCTATGCCCAGGAGGAAGTGCTGAAGGAAGAGGAAGAAATTAAGGAGGAAGAGGAAGAGGAGGAAGACAGTGGGTCGGTGGCTCAGCATCAGGGCAGCAACGACACTGGGACAGACGAGGAATTAGAAACGATCCCAGAGCAGAAAGGCTCCTTCAGCTGCCAGAACTCTCCAGGGAGCCACCTGTCCAATCAGGACGCAGAAAACGAATCTCTTCTGAGTGATGCCAGCGACCAGGTGTCAGACATCAAGAGCATCTGTGGCCGAGATGCCTCGGACAAGAAAGCGAAGGCTCACCCCAAGCTTCCAAGCGAACCCCATAACTGCATGGATAAAATGACAGCCGTCTACGCCAATATCCTCTCAGATTCCTACTGGTCAGGCCTGGGCCTCGGCTTCAAACTATCCAACAGCGAGAGACGGAGCTGTGACACCCGCAATGGCAGCAGCAAGAATGATTTTGATTGGCACCAAGACGCCCTGTCCAAAAGCCTGCAGCAGAACTTGCCTTCCCGGTCTGTCTCTAAGCCCAGCCTATTCAGCTCCGTGCAGCTGTACCGGCAGAGCAGTAAGATGTGCGGCTCGGTGTTCACCGGGGCCAGCAGGTTCCGCTGCAGGCAGTGCAGCGCAGCCTACGACACTCTGGTAGAGCTGACCGTGCACATGAATGAGACAGGCCACTATCAAGATGACAACCGCAAAAAAGATAAGCTCCGACCCACGAGCTACTCAAAGCCCCGGAAAAGGGCCTTCCAAGACATGGACAAGGAGGACGCGCAAAAGGTTCTGAAATGCATGTTTTGCGGTGACTCCTTCGACTCCCTGCAGGATCTGAGCGTCCACATGATAAAGACAAAACATTACCAAAAAGTGCCTTTGAAGGAACCGGTACCAGCCATTTCCTCTAAAATGGTCACACCAGCCAAGAAACGTGTTTTCGATGTCAACCGGCCCTGCTCCCCTGACTCCACCACAGGGTCGCTTGCAGATTCATTTTCTTCCCAGAAAAATGCCAACCTGCAGTTGCCCTCCAACAGCCGCTATGGCTACCAAAACGGAGCCAGCTACACCTGGCAGTTCGAGGCCTGCAAGTCCCAGATCTTGAAGTGTATGGAGTGCGGCAGTTCCCACGATACCTTGCAGCAGCTCACGACCCACATGATGGTCACGGGCCACTTTCTCAAAGTCACCAGCTCTGCCTCCAAGAAGGGAAAGCAGCTGGTGTTGGACCCGCTGGCCGTGGAGAAAATGCAGTCACTGTCTGAGACCCCAAACAGCGAGTCTCAGGCCCCTAAGCCGTCAAGCAACTCCGCCTCTGACTGCACGGCCTCTACCACCGAGTTAAAGAAAGAGAGCAAGAAGGAGAAGGCGGAGGAGGTCAACGAAGGCGAGCAAGGCGTGAAAAGCGAGGACTATGAAGACCCTCTACAGAAACCTCTCGACCCTACCATAAAGTACCAGTATCTAAGAGAGGAGGACTTGGAAGATGGCTCAAAGGGTGGTGGGGACATCCTAAAGTCGCTGGAGAACACTGTAACCACAGCCATCAACAAGGCCCAAAACGGTGCTCCCAGCTGGAGTGCATACCCGAGTATCCATGCAGCCTACCAGCTGTCAGAGGGTGCCAAGCCACCCATGGCAATGGGCTCCCAGATACTGCAGATCAGACCCAACCTGGCCAACAAGCTAAGGCCGATCGCACCCAAGTGGAAAGTCATGCCGCTTGGCCCTGTGGCCCCAAACCTGGCCCTGTACACTCAAGTTAAGAAGGAGGCAGAAGACAGAGAAGAGGTCGTGAAGGAGCGTGGGAAGGAAAGTCCCCACGGAGAGGCCGCCTCTCTCAGCCAGTCTGAGGGGGAGTGTTTCTCCAAAATCGAAGCGCCTTCAGAATCCAGAAAGGCTGAGCCCTGTCCCCTGAAGGAGGAAGAGAAGCTGCTGAAAGAGAAAGCAGAGCCCTTAGAACCAGTGTCTTCTCTCAGCAACGGATGTGCACCGGCTAACCACACCCCGGCCCTGCCTGGCATCAACCCGCTCAGCGCCCTGCAGTCGGTCCTGAACAACCACCTGGGCAAAGCTACGGAGCCGCTGCGCTCGCCTTCCTGCCCCAGCCCCAGCTCAAGCACGGTCTCCGCGTTCCACAAGCCCACTCTCGGCATGGTGGACAAGCCGGTCATCAGTCCCTCCTCCACCAGGCCGGCCAGCGTGTCCCGGCACTCCCTGTTTGAGAACAGCGACCAGCCCATTGACCTGACCAAGTCCAAAAGCAAGAGAGCCGAGTCCTCGCAAGCACAATCCTGCACGTCCCCCCCTCAGAAGCATGCCCTGTGTGACATTGCCGACATGGTCAAGGTCCTCCCCAAAGCCACCACCCCAAAGCCAGCTGCTTCCTCTAGGGTCCCTCCTATGAAGTTGGAAATGGATGTCAGGCGCTTTGAGGATGTTTCTGGCGAAGTCTCAACTTTGCACAAAAGAAAGGGCAGGCAGTCCAACTGGAACCCCCAGCACCTTCTCATCCTGCAAGCGCAGTTTGCCTCCAGCCTCTTCCAGACATCAGAAGGCAAATATCTGCTTTCTGACCTGGGCCCACAAGAGCGGATGCAGATCTCAAAGTTCACAGGGCTCTCGATGACCACAATCAGCCACTGGCTGGCCAACGTCAAATACCAGCTTAGGAAAACAGGTGGGACAAAATTCCTGAAAAACATGGACAAAGGGCACCCCATCTTTTACTGCAGTGACTGTGCATCCCAGTTCAGAACCCCCTCTACTTACATCAGCCACTTAGAGTCTCACCTGGGCTTCCAAATGAAGGACATGACCCGGATGGCAGCTGACCAGCCAAGCAAGGCGGAGCAGGAGATCTCGCGGGTGTCGTCGGCTCAGAGGTCTCCGGAAACAATAGCTGGCGAAGAGGACACAGACTCTAAATTCAAGTGTAAGTTGTGCAGTCGGACATTTGTGAGCAAACATGCAGTAAAACTCCACCTAAGCAAAACGCACAGCAAGTCACCCGAGCACCATTCCCAGTTTGTAACCGACGTGGATGAAGAGTAGTTCTGCAGGTATGGGTTTGCTCCCAGGCGATGGTGGCCGTGGCCTTGTGAGGAGCGTGTTCAGAGGATATGGGTCTGCCTAGAGGCAGAGGGTGTCTCCCGAGGCCACGCAGGACCGTAGCTTGCTGGCATAGACTTACTTTTTACTAAAGACGGAACGTGCTGAGTAGGTCCCAGCCATTCCCCCATGCCCTTCAGGTTAGCAGGGGAGCAGGATGCAAGGCATCTGAGAGATATAGGCTCATGTTTGCTTATGGAGCTTCGGGACACACAAATTCCCTTAGCAGTCTGAGGCCCGACCTCCAAGAGGACTAGATTCCATGTTGCCGTCTGCCTTCCCACAGCAGTGATAATACAGAGTGGGGAAGAGGCGAGCGCCGGAGTGAAGATGGAGCCCATCATATACAGAGATAGCTTAATCAGTTCACGAATGGCTTCATGTTATCTTTATGGTTCTTGCAATGAACACATTCTGTAGCTGACTCTTATTAATGGCTACCTTTCCATTCCTCTTTTTCTTTCCTACATTCATTTGCCTACAGAAGAGCAGGTACCCCTCGAGGGGGAGAGTTGAGGTGCACTCTTCTCCATGGAAGAGGGAGATGAGAATGGAGGAGGCTTTTGTTCCTCTCTCTCCTTTTGGTTTTCTCTAGGATAAGGTCGGGATCGAGCCCACCATTAACAGACACAGGTGCAAAGCATCCCCGAGAGTGTATTTTGTCAATAGAGATGGATGGCTCACAGCCCGCATATGGTCAAGTGCATAGGGTCCATCCCATAGCTTCAAGGTAATTTTAATTGAGCTGGACGTACAGTTAGGTGGCAAAGCGCTTGCCCGGCATGCATAAAGTCCTAGGTTCAAGCCCCAGTACTGAAAGGAGAAAAGAATCTGTACCATGTATCATAGAAGTTCATGCCTTGTATAGTTACCAGTATCCAGGTTACTTATGTCACCTCCAGGAGAAAGGACAGACACCAAAGGCAAACAAACACCTTAGCGGATTAGTCACATAGGCTGTGTTCAGATGCTGAGCACAAGGCTGGATGCGGACAAAGCTCTCTCACGGGTTTCCTCTGCTTCCTTTTCTCTCCCCTCCAGCATGACACTCCCATACTCTAGGGACCCCAACACATATTTAGGTTGGCCTCTGCCTGGGGCCCCAACACAAGGACCCAACATGAGCTAAAGCTTCTGCATCTCCCAGCCCAGCTTATGCCCCCACAGCGTTACAGATCTGCTCTTAATTAATTCACGACAAAGTCTGGAAAGCTGATAATGGCATATCATATGAGCCCTCGCCAGCCCCTATTCTCAAAGCATTTGCCTTTCACAGAGGACTTCCGGGTCAGGCCCCACGGGTGTGGATAGTAGGGGAGCCTCTGGTGGAGAAAGGTTCTTGAATGGCCTGGCTCTGAGTGCGCAGAGGCAGGGAAGGTCTGAGTGTGAGGATGGTCAAAAGGAAAGGAAGGAAGTATGTGTTTGACTTGAGACTCCGCCCTCCGGGTAGGAACCCATACTTCGGACTTGGGTGGGCTGCAGTGAGGACCACGCCTGTTGTTTGCATGCTTTTGTCATGGAAATTCGATGTTCCGGGCAGATTCATCTCCGGTTTTCCAAGCATGACTGTACATCTTACCTTATTGAATGGAAAGCTACTTTGCATCTGTTGAACCCACACATGAGCTTGGGTTCGGCCACGTGCTATTTATTTGCCATACCACATTTTAAATTTTTCTGTAATTAGCCATTATGCTCTTCTGGTCCTTAAAAAAAAGGTGGAGATACGTAAGTACCTAGAGACAAGATGTATGTTTCAAATCTAATAATTGTGGGTCCAAACTGCAGGGAAGAGAACAAATAGGTGATGTTTATTTTGTGCTATAATAAAGGTCGATTTTCCACCTGTTAGGTCTGTAATCATTTTTTTTAACTGCGATATGTAAATAGGGAGAAGGGAGGAAAAGGAAGGTTTCATTCACCCCAAATCAGAACCTAGAGAAGTGAAAACCAACCAGTAATTAGGGGAATGTGTACAAAGGCTACTTGTAAATCCAAAAGCTACATGGGTAAGATTGCTATTTTTGCATCTGTCCACATTTGTACAGAATAAATACTTCTAATTTATGACAGTCTTATCATTCCATAGAATAGCAAAGCTCTGTCTTCACGCATTCCCTGCCATGCTGGAATGTCAGACAGAGTTGACATCAGAGGTTTGGAGCCATTCCATCCAATGGAAGCGTGCCATGTGTGTTGAGAGAAAATGTGGGTGCTGGGTGTGCTTACATTTAGAGAGAAGCTATTCCAATCTGCAAATGTTTGCCCCCACGTGTGACAAGGTGATGCTTGAAGCTCGGCTTGTCTGGGAAAGAGCACTGGACTAGAGCTATTCGTGTAAGCCCCAGCCACTTCTTAGAACTTATGCGTGTGATAGTTTGTTTTTGTTGTTTTATAATTTTGTAAGATTTATTATAAAAGAGAAAAATTGGTGGTTTTAAATGTCCACAGGCTTCTACTGTCATTTGGAATTCTAATCTTAGGTGATATGAAAAAAATGACATATTTTAGAAAGACATCAGGAGATGATGGGAAACTCAAGAGTTTACCATCCCCACGTGTTTCTAAATGGCCTGAATTCTGACCTGAAGTTTCTTTCCTTTCTTGCGCCTACCTTAAATCCTACGAACACCCTGCCAAGGAGCAAAGGCAACTGTCCAGTTAAAATCCCTTCAGAAGTGTTAAGTGGGCATCCATCTCCTCTTCTGTTTCAGCATGTATTTGTATATACCTTTAAAAGTCTCTTGCTCTTGACTAGAAATTAAACAGAGTAAATCATTGAATCTCAAATGCATAAGGACTTCAAATTATAGTCATTACCTCGTAATATAGTGTACGCATTTAACAGCACACCTAACCTTGAGACTGCTGGCAGAAATGTATTCTAGTCCAACAAGCTACCTGCCACTTCTGTTATGGATGGCTTGATGAAAATGTATGTTCGGGGTGAAATGCATGGAAGGCTGCCAGATAAGATAAAGGATGGACGTCTAATCCAGTTGAACTTGCCCTTCAGATAAACCACGGAGTCTTAGTACAGCTGTGTCCCAAATATCGTGTGGACCATAGTCTTGTTTTCAAAAAGGAGCCATTGTTTACATGAGATTCATTTTTAACATGGAAACCTGTAATTCTGCCATTATTAAACATGTAGATTACAAGCCAATCTAGGAAGAACCAAACAGGCTGGAGTCATTAAGGCCTGCAAGAGGCACCTGCCATTTCTCTGTCCATTAAAGGAAGTCCCTTCTTCCCATCCTTCCTCCCTCCCTCCGGTCCTTCCATCCCTCAGCAAATGGTGGTTGTGTTTTACTGCACACCACATTCTGTTTAGTGATAGGACGTAGCGGTGAGCCAGCAGGAACACCAATTATGCTAGCAAACTGCCGGGATTTGCAGCAATCGCTTCACAAGCATCACGTCATACTATATCTCACAAACAGCCCCTGGCTCGGTTCCAAGAAATAATGACATAGACACAGCACCACGTTTCCCAAGGTCCCGCCACCTCTGGCCTTCACTTACACATTAGCTCATATCAAGAAGGCCATTGCCCCATGGCAAACATGGTAGTGATCCCAGGAAATACAATAACAGCCAAGAGGAGAGTCTGCTGCCGTGGAGGCCAGTGGTAGATCGCAACTCCAGGGGAGCTGATGAATGGAGTGCATAGGAGAGACCCTTCCCCTGCCCCAGGGAAACAAAGATGGGGAGCATTCTTCCGGGGGAGTATTTGGATGCTCAGGTCATCCACCCTGGCATTGAACTTCATACCATCCTCCATGCCCAACCCTGTTCTATTTGTGAGGTGGGGACATGATAGCCTGCTCAGAGAAAGGATCTGAAATGACATAGATGCATGTGATCACCTTGCAGAACACCTGGTACCCATCAGTCCATGAAAGGAAGTCCTGCAGAACCCTTACAGCCTTTGTCTGTCCTACAGTCTCAGCGGAAGTACCTTGAGTCTACAGTCCTCTCAGTTGACTGATTCGTGTCCAGATAGCCTTTGATTGTGGCAGCAACAGCAAAACGATCATTTACTGGCCTCTTCCTATGAGTCAGGAAGGGTTACACTCGGCATCCTCATTTTGAAGGAAGAGAATCCTTAGTGAATAGGTTTCCACCGTCGCACCATTCACACACAGTCAGCAAAGGTGGGAGTTCCAACCTCAAATACCACATGTCTGTCCGACGTTCATCCGCTGTCGGCCACCCTTCGTCTCCTGCTCCTTGCCTGAATTGAGGGCCCACCGCATGACTGACAGACAGCGCAGGGAAGAGGCTGGAACACATGGGTAAGAGGTGTGCCAAAAATAAGGCTTCCCCCCAGGGCTTCTGGGAAACTCGAGCTGTAAACGAATCAAAATTCTGCGTGGCCTAATGACAGACATGCGTTATAAGAAATGTGTCCTCATGCAATTTCCCTATTGCATGGACATCGAGGAGTCAGCACAGACAGCTGTGGTGTCACTGAGTACTGGATCTCAGGAAACAACCACAATACACCACAACAGCAATATCACACAGAAATATGGGGACCTAGGGAAGACCTGTGGGGTGATACGGGCACTTTCCTTCCTGTCATTTTGGTTCCCCCATTTAGTCGTACGACACACATTTGTATAAAGCATCTAACCAAGACACTACCCAAAGCCACATGGACATAGTGTATACATCATCTTGGCTCTCAGGGACTCATTTTAGGCAAACAAAATAAGATGAGATCAAGTGTGTTCAGGGTGGTATGGTCACAGGTGGAGACAGTTGAGGAACCAGGAAGTGGGGTTATGTCGGGGGTTCTGGCCCTTCTCAAGCAACAACAGCCAAACGCAGAATCTCTCCTAACTTGTTTTTTTTTTTTTTCGTTTCCCTTGAGCGATCTGCCTTACCTTCCCGGGCACGTCGGCCCGTTGCACTTTCCCCTCATTTGGGCTTCTGAGCGCTCAGT